GTGAGTGAGTCAGTGAGTGAGTGAGTGAGTGAGTGAGTGAGTGAGTGAGTGAGTGAGTGAGTGAGTGAGTGAGTGAGTGAGTGTGCGTGCGCGCGTGTGTGTGTGTGTGTGTGTCGACTCTGACAGGAAATTGCCTGCGTCCAACGTCCCTGCCAAATGGACCATAGATCTAGGGATACCTTCCACTTCCATTCTTTCCAGGGACCCTTCTTTCTAGAAAACCTCCGGAAACCCAGGGAAAAGGGATCCGGTTTTTGAAAAGAACGATGGTTGAAAACAATGGAAAAGGAATCAACCCCTAGAATAAACAAAGCAGGACATGTCCGACCGACGTCGACGTCTTCGCCGGTGCGAAGAGCGACCCGGCCTTGAGTTCCAGCGCCGCGGCAGCATCCTCAGTAGCCGGATGTTAAGGGAGGTCAAGCGGGGAACCGGGAACTGTGCAGGTGTTTTCATGGAAAATTCAAAGGGTTGGGTTACAGGCACATCTGCACAGAATGGCCCCAAAACAGCCTAAACAAGCCGTTCTCCTGTAGAATTTCCTACCCAACCCTTTGAAAAATAACTCAAGATCTAAATGCAAAACATAAGGACACCAACAGCACCAATGGTCCGGGGTCACCTTACACCCTGCTTGGAGACAACAAGCGGCTTGAGGAGGTTTAAACAAAACTGAACGGTCCCTGTCTATTTTCCCAACAACGGCGCCAAAAGGTGCCCCCCTGCCATGGTCGCTGGAAAACCCTTTCAACCGAAGCTCAACTACTTCTGCTTCCCTGAGCATAAATCGGGAACCCTTTGTGACATCAAGGGACATACTGTGGATGGACGAAAAATCATTTCGCATCACCTAAGAACAATGGCTGAAACCGTCACCTTTGTCGGTATTTACAGGTGGAATCATCAATCAGGCACCAGGGGTTTCTGAACCACCGAAGAACTCTGGTTAAAACCATCACGTTTGTTGGTATGTACAAAGGAATCGTGTCAGACATTAGGGGTTTCTGACAGGTGGTGCGATTTTGTCCATCCACGAAGATGGCTTCCTGCTCAGGCCCCGCCTGAGAAGCCTCGACGGGTGGAGCTTGCAGCGCTGGTGAAGGTCCTGTGAGACTTCTGCGAAGCAAAAGAAGGAACTCGATAAACAGAAAACTACGGGCCTGCAGTTTTGGAGGGTGGCTGTCTTGATCTTTGTGGGTTGTGAAGGGAAGCCAAAAGGAAAACCGAAGCCATTTCGAGGGGGATCCCCGAAAAAAAAGACTTCGCCTGGAGCAACCCCCACCCTCCACACTGCGAGCTTACGACCATGACACGTGAATTCAAGCGTGGTTTTCGAGTGGCTTGGGGCCTATCGCTGCTCAACAAGCTTTGCGTTGAGAGCCTTATCCACCTGTCTGTGTGTCAAACTCCACTTGTCTGCGAGCCGATCTCGAGAACTCAAACATCGGTTCCGTTAACAAAAGCCAAGCCCCTTCCAAAAAGAAACCCGACGGGGGATTAAACGAAGTTGCTTATTCACAACACAAAGGCATCACCCTTTCCGAGCCTCAGGGTACACTCAAAAAACGAAGGCGCAGGATCCACCGGCAAGGGATACTCAGCGGGATACTTGGCGGGATCCACTGGCGAGCTGGATCAGCGGGATACTCGGCGGCTGCTCTGGTGGGATACTCGGCGGGGTTTACTGGGGAGCTGCTCTGGCGGGACACTCGGCGGGATCCACTGGCGACTCTGGGATACTCAGCGGGATACTCGGCGGGATCCCTGGCGAGCAGCTTTGGTGGGATACTCGGCGGGATCCACTGGCGAGCCGCTCGGCGGGATCCACTGCACTGGCGAGCAGCTCTGGCGGGATACTGGGCGGGATCAGCAGCTGGTGGGATACTCCGCTCTGGCGGGATCGGCGGGATCCACTGGCGAGCAGCTCTGGCGGGATCCACTGGCGAGCCGCTCTGGCGGGATACTCGGCGGGATCCACTGGCGAGCTGCTTTGGCGGGATACTCGGCGGGATCCACTGGCGAGCTGCTTTGGCGGGATACTGGGTGGGGGCATGGTGTAGAAGCATCGCAAACGCGGATTCCAACATAAAATCTAACAACCCCTTCCTGTCGGGTGGGGAAAAGGACACACCCATACAAACACAACAGCCGAGCCTGTAATCACATTAAACTCACAATCAGACTCAGCAAAAAAAACAAAGGCCAAGCGTGTTGTCGAGTCGGCGACCGACAAGAGCAGCCCTCCATTCAAAAGAGGTTGCCCTGTTTCACAAGATCACGTGGATATACTGTACATGGGAAATTATCTCAAGTGGGAATCCCATGATTTACAGGGGGGATTTGTGAGAACCGCTTTGAGGGTATCCCCAATTGAGGTTCATACTCAAGAATGTATCATCATCTTACAAATTATGTTGTGTGCTTTGATTGTAGCCTGTTCATGTCCAGAACAATCACGATGCGCTTTTGGGGGGGAGGGGGGGGTGAACCAACCAAATATTAGTCCCTTCAAACTGGGGCGTGGGGCTACGAATGGAACCCACCAGAAAGGAAAATTGCCATTCGGGACCCTTCAGGACCCTGCCCGAAGCCGGGTTCCATGCTAGCGATGGGAGTTGGCAATATCAGCGTTTCTATTTCGGTGTGTTGTTTGAGGGTAGCCCTTTCACCTTGGCTCAAAGTGGAACCCAAAGACAAAAGACTCTACTTGGAGGGTACCTGTAGTCCGGTACCAACCCCTTGCTTCCCCAGCTCATCTGGGCCTTCAACTGGACCAAGTCTTCCGCATGCCCGTGACTGCAGCTCCACTTGCACTGCCTGAAGCGGGCACGTGCAATCATGCAATCGGCGTCCAGGATTTGTCCTGCTTAGGTCCCAACATGGGTTCACCATGCCACTCTGAAAAACTGAAAAACTTTTAAAAAAACCAAGCCATACCTTCACCATACTGCTTGGAAGGTCCAAAACTGAAAAACTGAGAAGCCACTTTGATGCAGCTCGTTGGACCTTCTGCCCCCTTGGGCAGAAAAACCGGCAAGTCGCTAGTTCCTGCATCTGCTGGAATACACACCTGACTCCCAGCCAAATTGAATTTGGGACCATCTGTTCATTGCCGAAATGCGCAAAGGAACCGTTGAATTTTGAGATATTTTGAGTGCATGATTGAAGTAGCACAATATCGTGGTAGGGATCAGTTCTACACATGAACAAACCTAAACTAGCAACTCAACTTGAACCAAGGGCCTTTAAACTGAGGCAAACATATGCACGGTCGAGATTACTTACATACGGCTGTTTCGCCACTTAGTTTGAGTCCCCTATCGTTTTCCAGCGTTTTCATTCTTTTCCAGGGGTATCTTTTTTTGAGAGTCCCCTATCATTTTCCAGCGTTTTCATTCTTTTCCAGGGATATATATTTTTGAGAGTCCCCTATCGTTTGCCATCGTTGTGTGCATTCTCACAATATCAACGAAACACCGAATACCAAACTCAACAGAAGTAATTCTGACGGTACTTCATATCATGATCAGGAGGAAATTCTAAGGGGCGAGAAGTTACCAGTATTGTGCCACCGTTTTAATCCAATTGTTAACCCAACTCAATGTGTATCATGTGTTTCTGTCTGCAAAATAAACATGCCAAGCACTCCCGCGGTTCAAACCTGGTGAGACAAGTGGGTTCTAGTACAGGCTGTGAGGCTCCTTATTGACCGTTCTTTCAGGTCCTCAAAAACTGGCGAGTGCACTGAGGTCTGCATCGCTCAGCCTGTGCATTGACAAAGCCGGGCTAACAATTGGATTCAAACGGTGGCACAATACTGGTAACTTCTCGCCCAGTAGAATCACCTCCTAATCACGACATCGTTTTCCTCATATAGAGGCCCTTGGTTCAAGTTGAGTTGCTTAGTTTAGGTTTGTTCATGGTTGATTCGTAGGGTGTGTCCTCCTCCAGGGCTGGAATGCACACCGCGTCTCAAGAAAAAAACACGACCCACACCTTACTAGGGTCCTTCATCAAGAAAAATATTGAGAAAAAACAAAACACAGAGATCTACCTCTTTGCCATGGAAGGTTCTTGAGTAGAGAGGCTAGAAGAAGTTGGTACCCTTTTTTCTGTTTCGTCTATCTTAGTGGGGTTCCCACCCTCCCCAAAAAAAGGAACGCTCAAAGTTGGCACCAATCGCTGGACCTGGGAAGTCTGGCGCACCTTGAGACCCAGTCCAGCGCCCGTTTTTGTCGATGGGTCTAATCGAACTAAACCTGCGGTCCGAAGGAACTCGACGCGTTCCCGGGGCTTGCGTTCCGTTTCAAATGGTCCCAAGAAACTCGACTCGGTGGTTTAAGGACATTTCCCAAAAGAACTCACAGCTCGGTTGCGAAATCTGCTGCCCTGCTAAAAGTGACTAACTTTTAGTGGCTTAATTCGGAAAACCCACTAGTTGGCAACAAGTTAAAGTCCTAACATCCCTTGGCAAAATGCAGCAAAGCACATGCCATGATAAAATCTCTGGGGCTTCTTGCTATACCACAAAACATCGGCAAATGGCAGATCAGTTCTTTCATCTAGTTTTGCCAATGCGTGGACCACGTGTTGTGGCGAACCCCACCAGGAACAAGGGAACCTTGACATTGGTGGTGTTACCCTCAAGGGATCGATACTTCCTACCAATCCCACGAACAAAATCTCTTGGTTGAAAGGGGTGGCCTCCTAGACACCCAGACACAAACATGTCACCTTCAGGACTAGACAAAAAATGCCCCGAAAATCCCTTGGTTCGATGTGTGTTCTTTGTTTTTGGGCGGGTAGAACCGGAAAACCGCCCAGAGGTCCAAACTCTTTGGCACATACCCATTTTTTGATGACCCAATCATTTATTTGTCCCCTTCAATCAATGGGCAACATCATCGACCGCAAAGAAACAAGGCCGTCTCAAATCCATTGTTCCCGGAAAGCACTCCAATGGTAAGAACCCCATGATCTGTTTGTTTTTGGATGATCCCGCAAATTGTTAGGTGCCTTCAATACCCTCTGTTTTTTGGATCACCCATTAAGGCACATACCCACTTTTTTGATGGCCCAAGAAACAACACAAATCCTTACATTATACACCTGAACATTGCAACTTGTAAATGGTGGTTTCCCCTTATTTTGGTGTTGAAAAGGCCATGTTTCAAACGGGCAGAATGTATCTTTTAAGGAGCCCTGACAACGAAATCCCCTCGGTTCCCTCCCCGATCCGACCGCACGATCGGATCGGCGGCTCGTGGGAGCCTTCTGAAGCTGACGCTCCAGGCCTTGCCGCGCCTTCTGATGGGCGCACGCCTGGCAGGGGGGGGGGGGGGGGGTTGGCACGCCTACGGCCCAGAGCAAAAATTGTGCGGCCGGGGAAGGGGGGGGGGCTGAACACCTGTCTTACAATCGGCGGCAGGACATGGACTACCCCTAAAAAGGGGCGGGTTTTTGTGGCGATGTTTGTTGAGCACACACTTAAGGAGAATTGGAGAGTTGAATTACCCCTTGAACAGACATATTCGAAAGGCCCTAAGTGCCAGGCGGGATTTTGACCCAAGCGCTTTGTGTCTCCAACATGGGCTCACCTCAAAAATGTCTCAAACATGTATATATGATGTGTACTGGGTTGGGCCCTTTGGTGGACATCATAAACAAAAGCACATGGGCATTGATGTCCACCAACCGTTTTGACCAAACGGCAAGTGGGGAATGCAATTCCATACTGGGCTTTCCCCAAAGTGGATGGGTTCACCACACGATTCCCAAATTGTCGAGTGCCAGGCGAATTGGGACCCCAAGACAAAGGAGTCGCGCCCTAAAAGGGGTCAGTATTGTCTCAATCGGTAGGCCTACTTTCATGGCCGAAAATATTCAAACCTCAAATGGCGAAGGCCGTCGCAGGGTTGAGGATTGGCTTGGGACTATCCCCAATAAACCAGTTGTCTATTCCGAAGAGTCCTCAGGTGGATGTGCGGACGGGATGGATGTGAAGAAAATGAACGCATTTTGTTGGATGGATATGGATTTATCCTGTCTTGTTTTGGGTAATCGGAGATGGACACATGTTGATCTAGCGCGTGCGGCTGGTCTGGTTCACGTGAAGGCAGTCCATCCCACAAGACGCCAAGCCGAATGAGGCACTTTTGGGTACTAGAAAAACAAACGCCAACCATCTGTGGATCTAGGTGCCCCTTTGCAACATAGATTCCACTGCTGACAAGAGCGTCAAACGCACATTGAAAAACAAAAAAACCAACAAGACATTGAAACCGTCCATGGCCTGTCTCAATGAGCCGACTACACTCGAACCTGCAGAGCCTTGGTCCAACTGACCTCTTCGCGGACTGCACTAATCAGAGGAAGCCTCCCAACATGAAGAATGAATTGCGCCGAAGGATGCTTTCCCAGCCCTGACTAAAGTGGTCTGACAAGAATCGGAGAAACAAAAAAACACTCACATTCACAGATTTCAGTGAGACCAAGCTGAATTAAGCCAATTGGCGTTAACGCTCTAACCAAAGGGCAGCCAGTTCCTAAAGAAGGACCTATAAAATTATCTTCTAAAGACGCTTTTATACCAACACCGCGAAGAGATAGAAAGAAAACACAAAAAAGAAGAAGAAAAAAAGCGTACCCTTAAAAACATTGAAGATATTTTGATTCTTGTCGTTCCCCAAAAAGGACTAATATTTTTAGATATGATGTGAAGGACGCCCCTCCAACTCCCAACCCTGCCTCGTCTGCCGCCTTCTTGCGGCAAGCTGCCAAGCGATCCCGGGAGGGTCTGCTCCTGCCCCACAAACCTATACGGTTCCAAATAACTCGAATGGAGCTCTGGGTTCATGAAAATCAGAGTCAGTGATGATCATTCCATGATAGCGTATGTCATGTGTTAACCCTCGTATTTCAACTCTGCTGGTTGACATGGAAGCCCAAAAGACAGTCCAGATACAGCAATGTCTTCTTTTGGGGATCAGTTTTGTTGGATTCCATGCCAACTTGTGGGCATCTATCTGCGCACAAGGGTACAAGCCGGGCTTCTGCACAGGGGCAGCCAAGGAAAAGCAGACCACATTTCTGCGTGGTTCGACTTGACAAGGCAATTTCGAGCATGCCTGAGACATACACACATGCCCAATCCGAGGGGCGCGGGAGCAAGGAAAAATGATCGACAAATATCGCGCACCCGGATGAAAAAGAAATCAGGGATCGAGAAGAGCATATGTCACCCAAGTGTGGGGCTGGTTTAGGGAGGGTTCATGGGTGGGTTCAGGGCCGGCTTAGGCTTGGCTTCAAGGTTGGTTTCGGGCCGGTTTTGTGTTGATGTGTTTGTGGACTTAGGGCGGGTTTAAGGTGGAGTTCGGGCCGGTTTAGGGTGGGTTTAGCGTTTGGTTTAGGGCTGAGTTGGTTTAGGGTTGGCTTAAGGTTCTGGCTTCAAGGTTGGTTTAGGATTAATTAGGGGTTCAGGGTGGGTTTAGGTTGGTTGGGGCAATCAATGAGACCAGGAGACCAGGAGACCAGGGAACCAGCAGACCAAGGAAGAGAGACCAAGGGAACCATGACGGGGGACCTGAATCACTGAAAATGTGCCTTTCATCCCGGCAAAATTCTGTGGCGGGCTTTGGCTGTCGGGTGGCTCACCTGAGGACTGGGGGCCTCAGCGCGGATTCTGCTGAGAAAAAATTGGCTGTGGCTCAAAAACCCGTCCCAAAATGGAACCCTGGTAAGTGGAAACATGGACCAAAACCTGCGTAACCCCTCCGGTTTAATTCTGAGCCACACCCATTTATTCAAAACAGGGAACATGCAAAACTGGAGCCAGCGAAAATGCCGCCAGTTCCCAAAGATGTAAGGGGCGCTGCCAGGTCATACAGACCCGCTGATGCATGAAACCGCGTGGACAGATTGGGTCAATGTAGGTTGCCAAAGGCATCGCAACGGCTAGAGTCATCCTCGGCTCGAATGGTTCGGACTAGCATCCTCCCACGCGCAGCCCCCCCAAACATAGACTGGTTGCTTGCGAGGACTGCCTTTCTATCGGTGAACTCTCAGGGTTGCTTGTGCTCTCCTTCCAGTGGGTCCCTCGCGCTCCCGCCCCTCCTGACCAGTGCTCGCAGCGCGTGGTACCTAGGTCTCACCGAGGTTCCGTTGGCCAGCATGCTACAACCCCCGGCCTAAAGCAACATTCATGCATTTTGAAACAACCCATAACGACATCGGCACACAAACCAACACGCACACAGAGGCAAACACTGAGACATACATGCAAAGACACAGACTCGGAAACATATACGCACGGACACAAAATCACTGCAGAAACAAAAACAAACACAAACATTCACAAAAACACCAACACCCACACACACACACACACACACACACGAACATATGAATAAACTAACGCAAGCCCGACCCCCAAACACAAACAGAACCGAACACGAAAAAATAAAACAACATAACAAAAAAAAAACACAAACCAACGCGCAAAGAAACAAAAGAACAAACGAACAAACAAACAAACAAACAAACAAACAAACAAACAAACAAACAAACAAACAAACAAACCAACGCACAAAGAAACAAACAGCAAGCAAGCAAGCAAAGCAAAGCAAAGCAAAGCAAAGCAAAGCAAAGCAAAGCAAAAAAAGAAGAAGAAAGCAAAGCAAAAAACAGCAAGCAAGCAGACAAGAAAATAGACAACCAAGCAACAACCAAGCAAGCTGGCAAGCAAGCAGCCAACCAAACAATTGAAACAAACAAGCAAACAATCATACATACGTACACAACACAGCAACGCAACCCACACACACACACAGAGAAACACCTACAAAGATACAAATGATTACGGACACAGACACGCACGAGCACATTGGGACACAAAGTGGCACATGCGCAAACACTAAAAAGACACACAAACGAAAAAAGGCACAGGGAAGAACACACATGTATTTTTTGAGAACACGCATACCACACACACTGTTCACACCAAAATTGTTGTGTCAAGACATGTTGGGGTGGAACTGGCTTTGTACAATCTAAACGTGGCAACAGCATGAATAATGCATCAAATACCACGCCATGGCTCACTGCAGGCGCAAAAAACAGGCTTTAGCTGCAAGAAACAGGCGAGGTGCAAAGGACGTTTAAAAAACAGTCGTGGATTTCCAGGGACACGCTCGCAAACCTGCAATCAAGATGGCAGGGAGCCCCCAAAATAGTTTCGTTCTGGTTTCTCTTCCAAAGCCCACCACATACAAAACAAGCAACGCCCTCGGACACCGAACTCGCGCCAAGTGGCTGCTGCACTGCGAGGTCGAGACCCCGCGTGGTGGGGCCTGACGGCGGTTGGACAGAGGACAAGAGGGGGGCCTGCAGCCTTTTTGGCTTCCAATGGGTCTCAAAAAGCGCCTGTTGCGGCGTGGGAGAAACTTACAGGCGTGTTTTTGAGACCCAGCCAAAAGAGACCTCAGCACCTTTTTCTTGCAAAGCAAAAGAAGGAAACCACGGAAAAAAATCCAGGACAAACTGCTGGACCCCTTCAGGACTCTAGACCGGGCTATCTTCTCTTTTGACCGCTTTTTGCTTCTGTGCTCTTTTATTCAGGAATACCGGATTGCAGGACTAGCTCGGCCAAGGACTTTAGCCGCAAAACGCAGAAGGGCGGCTTGTGTGAAGGGCTGAGCTCCGAGCCAAACACGAAGCCGAGCGCTCCAAACCGAGCCGAAGAAGAAAAAAAGAAGAAGAAACAAAAGAACAAACACCGAGAAGAGAAAACAAACAAAAAACGGAGCCGTCGCTTCGACTTGCGACTCGAAGGCCCGAAGGCCGGGCGAATGAGGCGCGGGCTGTAGATGGTGCCGTGCTTCGAGGAGAAAGCGCTGCGGAAGGAGAGCTGGATGCTGGGCTCGGCCCTGGGGCATTGCTGGTTGCATCCCCGGGATCCAGGGTCTGAAATCTGCGTTTGGATTTGTTTGGTAGTTTGAGGGGTGAGCAACTCTTTAAGGGGTACTTCAAAGCCAATTTGAGTCATGATTCATTGCAGGAAAAGCTATGGCACATACATGATAGAGATAGATAGAGATGGATGGAGAGTCATTGTGTAGTCCATTTATAACATGGAACTTGAATGGAGGCCCCTGAAAGACAAGTGTTCTTGGGGACCACTGTGAGAGGGGGTGTGCAAGATGGTCTGGACGGGGCTTGCTTTGCGTGGCTGATTTCTGCCACGTCATGCGGCCCTCGGGGAAATCAGGAACATCACCATCAAGGGAAACCACTACCCCGTGACAGAAGCATTCATTCTAAAAAAGGAAAACCACCCCCCTGCGAACATGAAGAAAACCACTACCCTGAAACCACTACCCCCCTGTGATATAGGGGAAACCACCCTGAAACCACCCAAGGGAATCCCCTATCAACTAGGTCCTCCAGTAGAGAGGTTTGAATAAGGGTACCCTTTTTTCTGTAGTCTATTTGAGTAGCGGAACCCTCCCCCAAAAAAGAAACGGTGAGAAAGGGCCCCAATTGCTGGGGACCTACACGTTCCATCGAGGGCGCTGCAACAGCTGCCGCAGCTCGCTCTGCTCCAGAGGCGGAAGTGGATTTCCACCCTTTCGCCGCAGCCGCGCCGAGGCGGTGGCCACGGTCTGCGGGGCTCGTTGGATTCAGTTGCTTCAGTCCCCGAAAACAAAAACGTGAGATAGCGGTAGATGCACCTAGAAACCCTTGAGATATGTCCAGTGGTGGTGGATTTTGCTTTAAAACCAGGGGAGATAAACACATATTCGTAAGGTAATGAGCTGTTGGAAGAATTGTCCCTGTCTGAGTCCAGAGAAATTGGTTCGGAAGTTAGATTACCCCAAGCAACCCCACCGTGGCTCCAGGAAAAAGGAAACTGTGGAGAAGTCGGCAAGTGGGCGGTTTCTGCGGTGCCCAACATGTGAGCTATTTGCAGTACCCAGTGGATCTGTTTACTGAAATCCGCAACCAAAGAAAAACCCTTCAAAAAGGAACATCGATGCCTTGTGGTGGCTGGCCTGGGTTCCACTGCAAAGCAAATGCCCAAAGGAGGTTTGTGTGCTCAAGACTGTTTTTGGAATGTTTTTTTAGGTTTTTTAGGGACAGTACAGCACTTTCAGCCTCCAAAGCCTGGATTTTAGGGACAGTACAGCACTTTCTGCATGCTGATGCTCAAAAGTGCTGTACTGTCCCTAAAAAACCAAAAAAAGTGCTGATCCCCTCCGCAAAACATCGCCAAAGGGCATGGATACTTCGAAAAGGACCAACCTGCAAACCCATTCTTTTCAGAATGGGTTGCCGTCGTGCCCTCCGTTTCGCGGATCTGGACTGGTCAAATTGAACCTAGCAAAATTACATATCTTTGCCAAACGGAGACTCATCGACATTTGATACCGAGAAAAAGGCTATACAAGATTCTCGGTTGCTTTCTGCTGCCCTGCTAAAAGTTTAACTTTTAGTGGTTTAATGGAAAACCCACTAGTTGGCAAAAAGGTAAAGTCCTAACATCCCTTGGCAAAATGCAGCAAAGGGTTGATATGGGCGTGTCTTTTCTTGATGGTGCCCCTTTCTTATGGCTTCAAACAGAAACCAAACAGAAAACCAGGTATTTGTTTGTTGGGGTCTTGGTGTTGTCCCCAAAAAGCTGGGCCCCGCTAAAAGTTTAGGGGTTGATTCCTTTTCCATTCTTTTCAACCATCATTTCTTTTCAAAAACCGGATCCGTTTCCTCTGGATATTCTTGTTGTAGCCGCAGCTTAAGGGGTCGTCCCCGATGGCCCGCTTCAACCCCTCGCCATCTCGCCTGCGTCAGGGCGATGTGCCAGTCGATGGCTTCGGCCAGCTGCAGCGTGCGCCCCGTTCGGATGATGAAAGAGGAGTAGCTGAGCTGCACAAAGTACCTCTGGACAACTTCCATTTGCTTTTCCGACCCCTGCAACAAAAAATGCCGGACAACTTTTCCAGTGATATAACTCCAGCAAAAGATTGACCATGCAAAAGGTCGACGAAGGGGAAGAAGAACAAAACGATTTTTGTCGCAGTTAAATGGCTGGACTTTTGACCACTTCCATTTGGCTTTTCGCTTTTGACTCCAACAAGTTGGTAGAGATGAGAAACTACTCGACTCCACACCACCGGGCTCCACACCACAGGCTTCCATTTGGTCTTAAACGACCCCTGGAAAAAAGAAAAGAACATATGGTCCAGTGATAGATTCCGTTTACCAACAGGGAAAAGAAAACATATTGGTAAGCAAAGGTCTAGGTCTAGGGGTCCAGAGGTTGATTCAGTTTCCATTCTTTTCAACCATCCTCCTTTTCAAGAACCGGATCCATTTTCCCGTGTCCGGAAGTTTTCTAGAAAGATCCGGATCCCTGGAACTAAGGGAATTGGGAGGTACCCTAAAGGACGCTCTCGGCTGCGGACAGAACCAGAAGTTCTAGACACGTCCAATTCCATTCTTTCCGATCCGAATCTTTCCAGAAAACCATCAGAACTTAGGGGAAACTGCCGTTTTGTGTTTGTTTTGTTTTTAAGAACGATGGTTGAAAAGAATGGAAAAGGAATCAACCCCTAGAAAAGTGGGGTGTGTTGCTGAAAAGAAGGCGACCCAGCTCCAGAACAAGAGAACAGACAGGCGCACAAGGCCGTTGGTTGCAAGTGGGTATGACCTTTACATACTACTTGGCCGAGCCTCCAAGCAGGGCTTCGAAACCTTGGCAAGGGGATCCACTCCCATCCAAAGTGGGTCCAAATGGCCTTCACAACGGGTACATGGTACTTCTCACAGGAATAGATGCCTGAGCCAGGACAAGTGGAAGTTGACTGGATGCCGCATACCACATGCCCTTTGAACTCAGGCATTGAATTGGCGATTGACATCCATGTTAAATATATGCACTGCTTCTGGAATTTTTAGGCTGGTTCTTCAAGCAAACTGGACAGGCTACTCACTTTCGGAGGTGTCCCCAAACGTCTGGGGCTCTTCTGCGCAAACCCCCGTCACGCGCCTGACGATGCCATTGCTGGCCTTCGCAGCATAGATACCTCGCACAAAGCGCCGGAAGCGCTGAGCAACTTGGTTAGCCATTACACATCCCTGCACCTAAAGCGAGACCATGAGGCTGCTCAAACGGTGACTCTAACAAGTTTAAGCCAGTTGAATCGCTCTGGGTCCAGACCACTGATAGACACAGTCAAACGCATCCAACGCCCCAAGTCTCTCTGACCAAGACACAAGGATGTCCAACCGACGCCGGTGTCCGATCCTTTTTCAGCGACCCTGCAAACCACTCCCACACGACCCCCACCCAATCATCCCTCGTGTCCGCACCGAATAGCGGGTCACTATTCCCATCTCCAGCTGGAAAAAAACAAAACCAGGAACGTTTCAGGTTTTGAGGGGTGGCTTCAACTGGAAGCCAAGCATTGGAAGGGGCCCGAAGCTCCCAAAGCTCAGCAACTCTCACACACACACACAACCATATCCGAAGTGTCCTGAAAGGCAATTCATGTGCACAACCCCATGTTCAAAATACCAACGTGTTCGTTGTTGAAAAGGATGCCCATGGCGCACATATCCACATCCTTACAGACATTTGTCGTTATGACTAGCGGGCGAACAAGTCTATACTTGCAAATCAACACTCTAATTGATCACAATCTGAAACAAGAGACTTTCCAGAACAATAGACCCCGTCCCTAGAATTTGCACAATTCCATGTCGACTCACTCGACCTTAGTGCAGCCATGGTGCGGAAACAACAGCAGCTAGAATGGAACCTAAAGGTTCCTCGACGTAAACTCAATATAATCTTCCAGGGGGCTCTGGTTAAGTTGCATGTTGGCACAGGATACAGTCACCCCGTATCAAATCCTCCACCTTGGAGGGACCGACCACTAATCCGAAATGCTTGTGTATTCGGCCGCTGACAAAAGCCGATTGCCACTTGAAAGCATATACATTGAAGAATGCTATCAAGGCAAGCCAGGTGAAGCAATAACACGTACACTAGTGAGTACACAAAGGCTACCCGTATTTGCTAAGGCTTATTAGGGGATGCCCCTCCCTTCCCTCCCTGCCTCCCTCCCTCCCTCCCTGCCTTCCTGCCTCCCTGCCTCCCTGCCTCCCGCCTCCCTGCCTCCCTGAAAACAAGCCTCCGCCGACTGCCGAGCCGCTGCGTTGCTGCGTGCGCACCCTCTCGCTCTGCGGCTCCCGCGGCACCTCGCCGTCACCGTCGCCGCCGGCAGTCGCGGCTGCCGGCGCGGCCGAGAACCGCCGCGCGTCCCAGGTGCGGGCCGCGGCGAGGCCGTCCAGGCCGCTGTGCTCAGCGTGAGCGCGGATGGCCGCCTTCACCGACCTGCCGCACATGCCGCGGATGGCGCCTGGGGGGAGGGGGGGGGAGACGCGGTTTCCCGCGCTCGTGGTGTCTTTTTTGGGCTTCCCCGGGTTGTTTTACAAGCCAATTGTGGGCGCTCACAATATATTCCTGTGAAGGAAGCCCAAGCCGCCAAAAAAAATCAGACGCGACCCAACTGGTAGGTAAAAGGAAGCCGCCCAAACGCTTGGGTTGGGTCCCAGAAAGTCCCAGGCAAAGGATCGACAGCTTCGAGTCTTCGACAGCTTCAATCGAGAAAGGAGGTCATCAAAAGCTATCTTGATGGACATGATGGCAAAGAAATTGCACTTGACCTCAATGGTTGTAGCCATGTGGTGTTGCTCACTCACTCACTCACTCACTCACTCACTCACTCACTCACTCACTCACTCACTCACTCACTCACTCACTCACTCACTCACTCACTCACTCACTCACTCTCTCACTCACTCACTCACTCACTCACTCACTCACTCACTCACTCACTCACTCACTCTCTCTCTCTCTCTCTCTCTCTATCTTTTTTGTTTTATTTGTCAAGAGGCATAAAGACAGGGGCCCTTGACACTCAACCCGAATGGGCCTCCACACTTCACAAAGGCTCTTTGGGAACCCTGAAAGGTGTCAAATGCGCCGACTTCCGACCTGAACCAACAAAAATCCAGGAAGAATGCCAACAGTGGATGGCATCTTCTGAATGAAAAAAGGGCGGGTAGGCTTCATTTGGATACGCCGAAGACTTTCTCGAGCGAGCGAGCCTTTGAGCATCAAAAAAAGGACCAGCTGGAAGCTTCGAGGGACGGACCCTAAAGTCGTTGGGCAGCCCAGTGGGTGCGTCGTTTTTTAGAGGAGACCATCAAGAAGGGGGGGGTAGTCCTTTTCGTTTTTGGTTTCCCAAGAAATCCCAAGAAAAACCATTTTCTGTTGGTTTCTCTCTTGGGATTCCTTTTCTTTCTCCAGCGTCGAACTTTGGAGAAAAATCGGAGAGAGAAGTGTGGGCAATCAGGTACGATCAAAGTTATCGGATGGTTCAATTGGACGGCCCACAAAAGTCTGGCGCACGTCGTTTTGTTTGAGATATGCATACTGTTTTAATGGAAGCCAACCAAAAAGGGGCGGAGAGGTTGGTTCCTTTTCTTCTGGCAATCCCGACCAAAAACCCAGCCCGCCCCCCCCCCAAAAAAAAAAAGAAAAAAGAGGAAAAACCACGACACAGCGCGGCAAAAGGCAGCCCCCCCCCCCAAAAAAAAAAAGAGGACGACCCACGACCCACCGCGCGCAAGGCGTGTGAAACGCCGAGGCGCAGGATGCCCTGCTGCCCCCAGGGGCTATTGAAGCGGAGGTACTTCTTGCCCTTCAGCAGCCCGGACTTGTAGGTGTACTCGAAGCACGTCCAGCCTCCATGGCTCCAGATTTGAGAGGTTCGACTCATACCCAGCCTGAAGATCTAGGTCCTCCAGATTTAGAGCTCAGAACAAGTGGGTACCTTCTTTTTCTTCTTCTTCTTCTTCTTCTTCTTCTTCTTTTTCCGGCTTTGTCTGCTTTAGTAGGGGAACCCTCACCCAAAAAAGAAACGGTGAGAAAGGGCACGACTCGGGGTCCTAGTCTATCACACACACACACACACACACCTTTCAGCCCCTCAAACCAGGTACATGAACCAGTTTGGAACTGAACCTGGTGCGAAAACCGGCATAGTCCAAGAGCTGCCCCGGGTTCGGTTGGGCTTCCGGGGCCTCTTGCCCACGTTTCACCCGGTGCCTTGGCACCCCGATTTTGAGGCTGAGGGGTTGCTTCGATGGAAAACAGGGCTATGGAAAATGGAATCCACTGTGATACAACAGAATGGGCTTAAGACGAACAGGGAACAGAGTCCCTTGTAATTATCACAGAAGTGGGGATACACCCCGAGTCAACCACAAGCCTGCTTGAAACATGCGCTTCGGGCGAGGGGAGCGAAAAATGGTCGTGTGAAACACAGGCCGCCCTATGGATTCTCCAAGTACATGCGAGTCCTTTCCAGCCAGCTCACACAACCTGACAGGATTTTTTGGCCCTGCAACAGTTGCGCAACATATTTGCATACAGGCATGCCTCAAACTGAACCTGGTTTGGATGGCTTCAAAGCCCTAAATGCGAGCACCTGAATGGGCCTCTAAATTTGAGAAACACCCATGTCATGCAGTTTACTCAGCTTTTTGTTGTCAGCAACACGCGCAGATCCTCCGCTCACAATATGTTGGAGATGAACCTTCTTGGGTCGTGATCCATGCACCCTTGGAAAGCAGTTGCGATTGCTGAAAACTGAGGACATATGACATCTGCGGACAAACATTGCACCATTTCAGAGTAAAGCCCTTGAAAGGTCATTACACTGCAATGCTTGATCCTTCCAAAACAGGGTCTCCTGTCCAGTGCAAAATGGCGAAGGCCCCAGATATACTCCGGATTCAAATCTAAACCTTGTTATATAATGGTCTGTCAGGGTCTGCTAGGGTGCGCCAATTCGGGCATAATAAGGAACGAGACCCTACAAAAACAAGGAAAGGGAGAACGGCTCTTTTGGCATAGCTGGTTTGCCAGTAAGCGTTGAAACCTTTTGAGACTGCACAAAGTCATACAGGCGCAGGCCACCGAAAATTGTCAACTTGCAAAGGTGAGTTGGGTGTATCAATATCGCTTTGCAGCATACCACGAAGGCATATGTGCAAGCGCAGAACAAGGGTGCCCAAATTCTAAGTCGTTCAAAATGGGAGGAAAGCCTTCATCTTCGCCGGAATCCGTAGTGGGACGCCACTACAAGGGAATCCACTAACCTCGGTTGCTTTCTGCTCCCCTGCTAAAAGTTTGACTTTTAGTGGTTGAATTCGGAAAACCCACTAGCTGGCAAAAGTCAAAGTCCTAACATCCAAGCAAAATGCAGCAAAGCAACGTCTGCATAAGGATCGATTTGTAGAACCCAAATTCAGAGCATCCATTTAAGACATCCGAGCTTGATCCCGCCTGGAGGCAAGCCCTCGGGAGGGTCCACCTCCCGCGGTGCCCTCGATACTGCGCCCTCCTCTCACTGCTGGCAGCCGGTTGGGCTTTTCGGGTGGTAACCAAATTGCTCCTTCTCCCTTTTCAGGTCACTTTCCAAGTTTGATTCTCGAACGAACAGAACCCAAGACAAACGCCATGGTTTTTGCTGAGAAACGGTTGGCTTTTTTAGCATAAGAACAGTAAAACAAGATGATTCTGCCGGAGCCGGCGAGGCCCCTGAGGCCCCACGTAAAGTTCACTGTGAGGCGGTAACACGCTTGCCATCGACCAAGACACTGGGTCGATTGGATGGGGCTGGTAACGCAGAAGTTCTGCTTTGACATTCGCCCTGTGTTAAAACCCCTCCTGGTTTCATGCTGTGCCGTATGCAGCTGTGGTTCCCTAAGTTTCATGTCCAGGGCTCTGACCTTGAGTTATTGTAATTGCTAATTGCATGCCACATCCGGGGTGGGAACAGGACGTCGGCACGGGCCGGACACTGGCTCCTAAAGACCCGGCAATGGCAGGAGAAAAACACTGATGGACCTGGGCGCTAACCAGATGACCCCGCAAAAAAAAGAAACGACGGCAAGGCTCCTAATCAAGTGTCAGAAAGAGAAAACGATGGAGAAAGAAAAAGAAGAGAGAGAGAGAGAGAGAGAGAGAGAGAGAGAGAGAGAAAGAGAGAGAGAGAAAGAGAGAGAGAGAGAGGGAGAGGGAGAGAGAGAGAGAGTAACTTATTTGGCCCTTCTTGGACTTGCTGGTGTACTAATGTGCACGATGTCACAATACGGGTGCGTAGGGTTTAGAGACTTAGAGGGCAATGTGCATGTGGGAATTGTACGCATGCATTTGAACCATGGATTCAACACATCACTACAATACTTGCACACGCAGGTAATCAGCAAAATGTGTTTGTATGAGCAGAACTCGTCAATCTGGGCAAGCCCCCCTACATAAAGCCTGCTTTCGATTCTTAAGCCCATAGCAAACCTTTTTCCCAGTGGATCCAGTTTGCTGTAGAGTAGGTTCTCAAGGGAAGCAGCCTATGGACACTGGTTGGATAGGGGTCCTTACGTTTGCTCTCGATTGAAGGCTTACAAGAATCCACTGGATCGCCATTACCACAGGTAGCCAACACCAGCTACCATAAAATAAGTTCCCTGGAACCTTCAGGGTGATCATGCATGTTCTACAAATGCTATCAGCTATAAAAGTTTCATGGAGCCTTAAGGCTTCTCTCTTTCCTGCAGATGCTCATGAATCCAAAACCCGGCTCCTCCCCAAACGTGGTTGACGTTGGAAGGGGAGCAAGAAATGTTATTTTCTAGCAGTTAAGTGGTTGGATTTCAACCGCTAAGCCACAAGAAGCAACAATGTGTCCAATGCTTCGCAACAACCACGTAAAGACATGAGTTTGTTTAAAGCCCTGGGTGTGTGTTGTCAAAAAAATGGGCAACCCCAAAATGTGTCCATGCAAACCCGGCGCGAACCGGAAGCCGGCGTCCGCTTGCCAGCGGCCGGCGCCCGATTGCCAGCGGCTCCTCGGCTCTGGCGTCCGGCTCCGCGGCTTTTCTGCGGGTCAGCTGAGACAGCAAGGCCTCCAGCACCTCCCTGGGCGCCGCCTGCGGTGGCCGGGTTCTACGCTAGGGGCCTCAAGGCTCCATGGCACCTTTTGTAGGTGTAGCATGTCATAGGGCTAACCTTAAGGTCCGGAACTGTGAGAGTAGCATTTGTAGAACAACTGAAACTTTGCAGTTGTTATAGCATTTGTAGCAAAAGCATTCTAGGACTTGAGTCCAACCATTCTTTTCAACCAGCGTTCTTTTCAAGAACCGGATCCGTTTCCCTGAGTTTCTGAAGGTTTGTTAGAAAGATTCGGATTCCTGGAAAGAATGGGGAAGGTACCCCCTAGATTACTTGCGATCGGCAGTTGCAGGTAACTCACATATGAAAGAATGTCGAGTCTGCCAAGCCGGGCATCAACAACATCTAGCACGTGCCCTCACACTTGGGAAACCATCAATTGAATGAACTCGACCTCCACGCCTTCCTCTTCTTTCCGCACTCGAGGAACACCCTCTTTTCACTTCGGGCCGTATTGCGTTCAATCCTGAAAAGCGTCAACCCCCCCCCCTTTTGGGATTGTTCGAAAGGGACCACCAACAAAACCACATGTTCCTTTCGGGGCTTCGAATACTGAGTCCCTGACCACCCTGGTGTCTGGACTCTGGACTCCAACGGGGTGGGTGTTCTCCTGGCTCGCCTTCCAAGCAACCAACCAGTGCCCCTCACGTCTCACGTTGCGGGGTTCGCGCTGTTCAATGATGATTCACTACTTTGGGATATCCCAAGTCGAAACTTGAGAGATTTATTTGTTCTAGCCACCGATGTGTGTTGCCCATTGAAGCGGATTCGTGCCAGGTGCCATGGCAAGGAGTGCCTTTCTGATGTTCGCATCTTGCCTGCAGCTTCTCTTGCCATCCAATCTCCTCCAGGAGCTGCAGCATGAGCAGGCGGGCGCGCCCCAGCACCAGCTTCCTAGGGCACTCGAAAGGTGCAAAAAAGGGAACCCAATATTCAGTGACTCGCTCGGTATGAATCAAGTCCCTTTTATCAGGGGGGGAACATGTACAATTATTCCTGATTGCAAACGCCGACTGCCAGCAATACTGCTTATTCATATTGGCCAAAAACACACACCAATCCTACAACGTGTCAGTTTGTGTATCGAACCAGGGAGGAGGCATACATTTTTGCTACGGAGGAAGCTCCAGGTCACATCGTTTTTGGTGAGTAACCTCCATTTCCTATCAATAGCTGTGCAAGTGCGGCGATGTCATTCCCTTCGCTACAGTAGAATGGTTTCGGTTCTAGTTTCGGTTCCTTTTTTCAACAACCCTGAAATGGGTGGCCTCAAAAACATACACACCCTCAGACTAACATGGAATCTCCCAGGACCCCTTTGGAAGACTGTCCATGTACAGAGGCCTTTTTGGGGGAGCTTCCAGCTGTTCGTCCGAGGGTGTGTACAAATGACAAGCATGTTGACGGTTGCTCCTACTGCCTGCACCAAAGAACCATGGTTGAAACCATCACGTTTGTTGGTATTTACAGGGGGATCGTATCATACACCAGGGGCTTCTGAACCACCCAAGAAACATGATTAAAACCGTTCTTTGTTGGTTACAGGGGAATCTTATCCTTTCAGGGGTTTCTGAACGGAGGTGGTATCATTCACCAGGGGTTTGTTTTTGTGGTGCGTTTGAAGCCACAAGATTTCGCGCCCATCCACAGCACCCTAGACCCGGGCGTCCTTCCGCTGGGCGCCTCCTCGCCCGCTTCCGCGGGCGTTTGCGCGGACAGGCCATCGCGGCTCCTGAGGTTCCAACGGCTGGGAGTTTGAGTCTCGGTTTAAAGACATGGGTGTGTTTAAACCTGCAACAATCACGTGTGTTTTAAATAAAAAAGAAGCAACCTATAAAAACAAATGTAGCCTTTCCACAGAAATAAGGCTTAAGCCATGGGTGTGGTTGTCAAACAATAGGGTACCCCCAAAATGGGTTGCCCTGGCAAACGGAAACGTGCTAAAACCTGCGGTACCCTGGTGGTTGAGAAAACTCTACGCGGACTTCTTTCACGCCTCAATTTTGCCGGAGGGGGGATTTGAACAGCCCACCTCCGTTTGGGCATGTGAACAACTGCGACATATCTCGGGGTGTCGCCTTGAGATGCTACGCCTGGAATTTCAAGAGGGTCTTGACACATCCCATGTCCCCAGAAGCCACTAGTACGCAAGAGCGATCTTGAGAATATCTCAATATATACATATACATATTATATACATATATATACATATGGATTTGGTTGTAGATGTTTGTTTGTGTGTTTGAGCTTGCGTGGTTGTGTGCCATGGGTGCTTGTGCGTGTGTGTTTGGGTGGTCTTTGTGTGTTGTGTGTATGTGTGGTTGTGTGTTTGTGTGTTTGTGTGGTTGGTTGCTTGTGCATTTGTGTGGTTGTGTTTGTGTGACTGTGCGGCTGTGTGGCTTTGTGTTTGTCTGTTTGCGTGGGTGTTGTTTTTGTGTGCTTGCTTGCTTGCTTGCTTGCCGGTCTGTCTGTCGGTCTGTTCGGCTTCTTGCTGGCTTGCTTGCTTGCTTGCTTGCTTGCTTGCTTGCTCGTTTGAGGTTCCTCAAGCGGAAAGCCACCAGTTGCGGGGTCCGCCAATTTTGACACACACCCACATGTAACGAACGCAGGGCGTGCGTCCCAAGGCTCTGCTGCTTCTGCAGCTGGCGGTCATACTCTTTGCGCCGCAGCTGGTCCGACAAGACTTCAAAGGCGGCCACCACCTTCCTCGCCACCGGGGGGTTGCCCAAAGGATCCTTGTGATACCAAGAAGGGGCCCTACCTTGGTAAGTATCGCAGCAAAGGGACCTAAATCCGGTTTCGCACCTGGGCTTGCCCTGGGCTTGCGCCGATTTTGCTCCAAGGCCGCCAAAGGTGCGGTGATTGAATGGACCCCTGCGGTTTACTCCCCTTTGGATGGCTCCCTTCAGGTGCTGGAGGCCTGAACCAAATTGCCTTTTTAGCGACGCTGCCCGTGTGAATGAAGCCACGACTGCGGGAAAACGACCAAAAGGATTGGGGAAACCTACGCACCCTGTTCGTGGGGGCTGCTTGTTCGTTCCAAGTCACCGCGTGTCACTACACAGGGATCCTTGCATTATACACCTGAACACTGCAACTTGTAAATGGTGGTTTCCCTGTATTTTGGTAGAAAATGCCATGTTTCAAATGGGCAAAATGTATCTTTTAAGGAGCCCTGCAAAAAAAATGGCAAGTCACGAATATCCCAAAATGTGTTCCAAGTCCTCAGTGAACTCCTACATAGCTCTGGGAAATGGGGGATAAGCCAGTTGATGTGCCACCCGTGGGGTGTTTTATGGGGTTTCCTTGCACAGATCCGGGTGGTTTTCCTAAAATCGGGAGTATTCTCCCGGCGGTTTGTTCCCTTCTGCCTGCCGGTAAAACTATCCCAAGCTTTGGTTTGCTAGGTCCTCCAGTAGAGAGGATAGAATAAGGGTACCAACTTCTTCTAGTAGTCTATTTTAGTAGTCTAATAGTCTAAAAAAGGTTGGTGAGAAAGGGCACTTCTGGGGCACCTAGTTGTTTTACTTCAAACAACTATCCAAAGGTAAGGTTCCCTACTAAGGGACCCTCTCCAAACAGCGCCCGACACGTGGTTTGACGGTGTGTTACAAAAACAAATGCCTCATACAGCTCAATTACTGCATTGCTTTATATAGTCAGAAATGATTTCGGCAAATACAGCACGGGCTGTTATTCACAGAAAGCCCGCGCATATGCCGCTGGTTACCCGCATGCCTCGAAGCTAGGCCTTGATCCTATGCGCATCATACTTGCAACACTCCAGGATGGCAAGAAGCACGGATTGCTTGAGACGCTAAGTACAATGTCAGCGCTGAGTCCACAATGTCTGGACTTGCTCACCTCTGCAGGAAACAAGCCGTGCTCCAAACATGTGGTGCAAAGAATAGAGTCAGAAGCCAGGCTGCACAGAGCTGGGATGCAAAATGTCAGGAAACCGGTGGATCATCAGCAGCTAAGCAACAAGCGAGCCGTGGTCATCTGCGCCATATAGCTACGAGGTGCTATTCATGGCATAGGCATCATGTGGAGGGGGCATAAGCGGAAAAGCGACCATGTCCAAGACCATTTTCACCAAGGTACATTCCCCAGTGGACGAGTCCGTGGACCAGGTAATGGCGGCGAAGTCATGCAAAAGCATATTTGCCCATTGCTCAGTGAGAAGCTGGCTATCTAAAGGTTCTCGGATCTGACCCATTTCATTACGATAGGCCTTATCAGCAGGAATTTTGTGCTGAGCCAGCTGATGCAGCAAATTGTCATCTTCTGGGCATTCTTTTCAGCATCGAGGGCAAGGACCACATCCCCCAAAGATCTCTGTCTGTCAGCCAGAGCCCTAGTAGCCGCGCTGTGGGCGGTGCCATCCCCTTGCAAAACCTCCAGACTCCATCCCCTGCACCCTGTCCCAACTGAAATAATCTGCATCCGCGCAAACGGACCCCAGCCCAGTTGACACCCATCCCCCTTGCACCACCTCCAGACTCCATCCCCTTGCACCCCGTCCCAACGCATCCGCGCAAACGGACCCCATCCCAGTTGACACCCATCCCCTTGCACCACCTCCAGACTCCATCCCCTTGCACCCTGTCCCAACTGAAATAATCTGCATCTGCGCAAACGGACCCCAGCCCAGTTGACACCCTTTTTCTGTAGTCTATTTAGAAGGGGAACCCTCCCCCAAAAAAGTTGGTCAAAGGGCACTAGTGGGCGACCCAGACATCGATCCGAGGTACTTGAACTCCTCGGGGTTGCCGCCCTTGTCCGGATGCGTCAGCAGCGCCCCCCGCCGGTAGGCGCTCCGGATCTCCGCGCCGCTCGCGGAGCGCGAGACCTGGAGGAGGTCGTAGTGGCCGTCGCCGGCGGGGCCTGGCTCGGAGCTTCCGGCGGTCCAGGGCGCTTTGTTTGGCCTTGGGGCGACTGAGGCCCATGGCGACCAAGAAGGCGACTAGGATGGCGCCAATAGTGCCAATGGTGCCTTCAGCTTGGGGCGACTAAGGCCGATCTTTGGTGCCTTTTGGCCCAGGAGGGGCCGATTCCCCAATGCTAATGGAGGGCGACTACTAAGGCCTATTTGGAGCCTTTTTTCTGGGGGGGGTCTTTTGTTTGGGGGGCCCCTGACAAACATTGGAAGAATCTTCATAGCATCCCAGCCCTTCCTTTCCAAAGATGGCTTGACCCTAAGGGTCTTTGCGGATCCCATGAGCAGCCAGGACATTCTCACAAAGACCCATGACGTGTAAGCCAGTCCGCAAAGTACAATGGAACCCCAGCCATGCTTTCAAAAAGAAACTCCTTTTGGGGGACCCCTTGTTTCAATTTGCGGGGGAGTAACAGCATCCAACGGAAACTCGCCACAGCCGAAGGGAAAGCATGGTCATTCGCCAACCCCACATTGAGGCCTTCGTATGAAAGCAACATGTATAACAGGTGTCTACATGTATATTAGTCGTATTGGGCATAGAACGGGTACGTGTCCGGAGAGTGCCTACTCCATGCACGCGGCGTCCAAGGAGACTGGGATCTATGGGTCTGTCCTTCTGGGACGGGTCATCAAATCAAACCAAGGGCTTGGCGCTGACGCTTTCTCTGAGTGCTCAAAAAACCGGAATTCCAACATGGCTTGCCCTGATAAATGGAACCCTTATGACATTCAAACCTGCGGTCCATATCCTGGTGGGTTTATTTTGACCCATGCCCATATGAGTGTGTTGTTTTTGGGGAGCCCCCTGTTGGCTGTCAAGGCAAAGGGACACCAACCATGTTAGGAGGAAAGTATGGTCATTGTGAAATTGCAAAACGACCTCACGGGCAATGTGTGTTGCCCAAAAGTGGGAAGTTCGGGTCGTGCCCCCCGAATCCTCCCCAAACCCTAGCGGACTACCAAACAATGTGTGTGGGCCTAAAGAATCACACACGCCCTGGTGTTTGAAGACCAAAAAGGCGACCAAAAAAAGGGACACCTGCTCCAAATCAACATCAATTTCCTGGAAAGCCATCCTCTTCAGAAGAAACTTTTGGGGGGACCCAGCTGAATTTGCGCAGGGGATGCCTCATCTTCCCCTTCTTTTTCTAGGTCCTCCAGCAGAGAGGTTAGAAGAACTTGGTACCAACTTTTCTCAGGACGTCTATTTTAGCAGGGTTCCCACCCTCCCTCCAACAAAGTTGGGTGAGAAAGGGCACCTAGCTGGGGGACATAGGTTCTCAAGCAAATCAAGCAAACGCCAAGCGCATCTAAAACTTCAAAGATGGAATTCTGCATGTACAGGCGCATATCATACATATACGGAACATATTATACACGTGCGTGCTTTTTTGCGGTGTTTTGGTCCGTCCTGGCTCGTCCTCCCTGGGCCGCTTGCGGCTGTTCTTGGCCCAGGCCAGGGCGTCCGTCATCGCCACGGCCCAGGGGTGCCTCGAAAGGCCACGGAACCCAATGTGGGAACCCAAAGGCCTTGATGGGGGGGGAAGTTTGGGGGCAAGTTGGAGGGGCTTTGGGGTTGGGGAGGTTGGGGGGGTTGGGGGGGGGGGGGTTGGGGAAGTTTGGGGGGTTGGGGGGGGGTTGGGGAAGTTGGGGGGGGGGATGGGGGGTTTGGGGGGGGAGAATCAGCGAGTGGACAAGTCTTGGCGGGAATTGCCCAAATTACGCAGAGACTACGGATACTTTTATTGCGCCTCACATCCTGACGTCTTCTTGTGCCGTTTCTCCAGAATGAAAAAATGACTCATCCCTTGTAGTTCCCTTAAATAGGGATCACTCGGTTCAGTTGCAAGAGCCACGTGACTGCCCAGTAACGTAGAGGTGTATCAATCTATCCTCTCTTAGTGTGCATACGGCCATGTCCTTCAAAGCAGCCCCCCTGAATAATGACGCAAGAAGAGCGAGAAGCAAGCAATGTGGAAATGGTCAATAGTAGCCAAATCATGGTTGAATCCAAAATAAAACCAACCACAAGTAGACCAAACATGGTTCCAACAGAAGGGACACCTCCCAAACGTAGACCAAACATGGTTCCAACCAAGAGGAACGCACAAAAAGCATGCTTCAGACCAAAGGGACACCTCACAGAAGTAGACAAGACGCAGTTCAATCCGCAGGGACGCCTCACACAGGCGCACCGAAGACATAGTTCAAGCCAAACGAATACATCACACAAGTAGACCGAACATGGTTTGCAACAGAAGGGACACCTCACAAACGTAGACCAAACATGGTTCCAACCAAGAAGTAGCAGCTTAGATGCAAAAGCACATCAAGTATCTGTTAAACCCAAGGGACGCCTCACAAAGCAAACCAAACATGCTTCAAGTTTAAACCAAAAGGAAACCAAGAAGCTGAGAAGACCCAACATGGCTCGCAGCCAGGGGACACCTCGCAAAAGATCAATGGCTCAAACCAAGTCCGAGGTGCTCATCCTCCGGCAGGGCCAATGGTTTAGGCGCACATGTCATCGCCCCGTCCAGAGGATCCATCCCTTGAAAATGCACAAGACGGGCCAAGGGCCTGGTGATGCTGGTCCCCATGCCTATCAGGAAAGCCTGATTATGAAAACGAGAAACTTTGACCAAGTCGCCAAGTTTGAGGAAGGGATTGAGTCGATATCTCAAAACCCAGGATCCAGAGGGTTTTTTGCCGCACCTTGCCACGGTCGGGTTCTTGCTCGATTGGTTTCAACTCAACTGGATCCTCTGGAGGGGCTCCGTACGATGCCGAAGGGCCCAGACTGATGCAGGGCCAAAGGCTGCACGGAAGGGCGACGTCCAGTGGTTCCCCATGGAAAAAGAGGGGCTGGGCCAATTTGGTCAGTGGATTTGAAGGGAAACTCACAAGAAAGGAAGCGGCGGAGCCCAGTTGGCAGCACTTGTGGTTGGCTCGAGCAAGAGCAGCACTTGGCCATCGCAGTGTTTCTAGGATCTGGGCTGCCCTCAGATCCCCCGGTAAAAGCTCAACTTTTACCTTTTAGTGGGTTAACTGGATAGCACTAAACACTAAAAAGATCTAAAAGGCTAAGGACCCGGATGGCTGGGAGCAAGGGATGCAAGCTGGGTGCAGGCTGAGGGTTCCGAGCTGCGAAGCCGCGAGGACCACTCGGGCCAAGCAGTGAGCTTCAAGCTCGCTGAACCCGAAACCAGCGAGTGCGTGAGTCCGTCCGTCTGTCAACGTGTGCATGCGCGCGGCTGCGTGTGTGCGTGAGAGAGAGAGAGAGAGAGCAGAAATGAGAGAGAAAATCAGGCTGAGCGTTTTGGCACGGCGCTTGGGTCAGCGCACCGAGCTAACAGAAAATGTATTAGGAGGCACGCGATTTGTCTAGTCTGGTTGTCTGAAAAGACTACCTTGATGTGTCTGTTGGCAGTTGTCTGAAATTCCTTGTTCCCGGCAATGCCATCCTCACGGGGGTAAAAACAACGTTCACAACATTGGCGCACGAAGTACACTTCCGCAGTCCGCAACTTTTCAGATGCAGAGTAGTACACTTCCGCAGCGGCAACTCGCGGAAGCACAGGAGGGGACCCGTGGGCCACCCATGTTCCGATTCAGGCGGGGAGATTATCGACTTTCGCGAAACATTGCGTATCTTGCACCAAGCATTAAAGATCCTGCTGGGAGGTTGCATTCAACTGGACACGCTTTCTTCATCGTTCCATATTCCTTTTAGAAAAACACTCCTACACAAAACTTTCACGGCAACAAAAGAGTAACTTTCGCGACCTCCATCGCGAAGCTTTCGCGGCAACACCAAGACAAAAAGGTGAATCCCTTGTCCAAATGGCTGTGGCTCAAAAAAGTGGTGCCAAAATGGCACCTTGGTACGTGGAACCAAAGACCAAAACCGATTGGCCCCAGCTCTTTAATTTTGAGCCATACCCAAATCACAGAGGGACCTTCTCTGAAGCACCCTCTGTCTGGGCCCGTCCCCAACTCGGCGTGGTAGCCAAACCCGGGGGCATGACAGTTCCCAGATGCGCAGTTGGGAGCACCATGTACGCGAAACCTTGGCACATGGGCGTTAAAGAGGTACCTTCCAATCCCATTCTTTCCAGGGATCCGGATCTTTCCAGAATATTTACGGACACCCAGGGAAAATGGATCCGGTTCTTGAAAAGAAGGATGGTTGAAAAGAATGGAAAAGGAATCAACCCCTAGAAAACTGCTATATGGCTGTGGGTCAAAATCCCGTACCCCCAGTGAACATCCCAATCCCCACTAAAATAGACTAAAATGGGTGGTGCATCCACCCCAAAATGGGGTCCCATGTGTTTGACCCACAGCCATATGTGTTGGAACAAGCACGTCAGATTCAGCAGGTGTTTTTCGCCCGGGTCCTTGCTGCACGTCCACCTGCCGAAAGGGCCGATGTCCCGTGAATTGCGCCCGAATCAGCAAAGGATCGGAGTTGGGGGGTGGGGGTTGGGGGTGGGGTTGGGGGTTGGGGGTGGTTGGGGGTTGGGGGTGGTTGGGGGTTGGGGGTGGTTGGGAGTTGGGGGTTGGGCGTGGTTGGTGGTTGGTGGTTGGTGGTTGGTGGTTGGTGGTTGGTGGTTGGTGGTTGGTGGTTGGGGGGTTGGGGGTTGGGGGTTGGGGGTTGGGGGTTGGGGGTTGGGGGTTGGGGGTTGGGGGTTGGGGGTTGGGGGTTGGGGGTTGGGGGTTGGGGGGTTCAGGAGGCATCTAAGTTAACCTGCAAGTTGATGAGTTTGGTGGGGAAACGGTCATGTTTCAAGCTCCAGAAAGTTGCGCAGACTAGTATATACAATCCTCAGACCTCGCTTGCTCGTGCGACAGAAACATTGGCGTGGTCAAACATGTAATTCAGGTGTCAAAGCATGCTCCTTTTAGAGGTGGAAGTAAGTCTGTGGCTTTGACAGAGAACATCAGTTGAATGGCATGTGTGCAGACATTGCCACACCTATTTCTTGGTTTGCGGGGAATTAAATAGCGCTTTGCTGGATTGAAACGCATGATCCAAAAGCCGTTCGATTCCCTGGATTGGCCAGCTCCATGGGGAGGAATACTCACTTCAGTCATTATCTAGGTCCTCCAGTAGAGAGGCTAGAATAAGAGTACCAACTATATTTTCTGTAGTCTATTTTAGTAGGGGAACCCTTCCCAAAAAAGGGTAAAAGGGAGCTACTGGGGGACCTAGTCACTTGAGTCATTACCAGAAACCAGATATGTTTCCGAGCTGTCCTCAGATCCCCCGCGAAAAGTGACGAACTTTTAGTGGCCCAAATTCGGAATCTACCAACACCACAAGGCTCAAAAGCCAAGGAACCGGATGGCCGGGAGCCCGCAAGAGATCCACCGAAAGAGCGGAGCCCAGATTCTGGGCTCAAGGATCCCTTCCTCCAGGCCCGTGGTCACCCAAGACATCCTTCGGCCCAACGTTGGGGCGAGAAAACGATCGCGGCGTGGCGGAAAAAAAAGGCGAGCTGCTTGGATTGAACCATTTTTTTTGAAAGAAATTGGTGGTACTCGGAGATCTCTTTATTTCCCCGGTGCAAACAAAGTCCGTCCCACAACTCAGTTGTTCAGTGACCCTGGAAAAGAAAGGGAACCCTTTTTGGGGAAGTCCACTTTTAGTGGAGCGGCGAAAGAATTGGTGCCACTGAACAACTGAGACAAACCTTTAACCCTCTCAGACGGATCCGAGGGTTTGTGGGCACCTCCTGGTCGGAAACCAAGGGAACCGCAGCTTCGTGCGCGCGCGCGTTTCAGGACATTTCAAACACGCGCGTCCATGCGCGAGTCCCTGACTGGTAGGTGTCGACTGGTAACGCCCCAGACCCTCCAAAAGCGAGTCTTGCGAATTGATTTTCTTCCGATCCGATCCTCGGCAGCGGTGGCGGCAGCTTCCCTGGCACAAAGCAGGCGGAATGCAGGCGCATCCAAAAATGAACCCATGAGCCTCCGCTCCATAAGACTTGCCAGAACCCAAAGGTCCGCAAGCAAGGGGCATGGTGGGCTTCTAGCAAGTCTTTTTCTCAGGTCCAAGAATGTGACCTCGCTCCTGGCGTGCCTCTCTTTTCTGGGCCCGTTTTCTGATCCGCGAAGAGTGACGAACTTGGGCTCAATTCGGAAACTACCACTAAACACTAAAAGGCAAAAAAGCGAAGGAACCGGATGACTGGGAGACACCAAGTTTTGTGCTGATTCTTCGAACTGAGTGCTGCACACGTCTTTGTAGGTCACGTTCTCCAATTCATCGTCCATCAGGGTGCGGACGGAGCTGGTCTCAAGCAAAGCGCCAGTCTGTTTTCAGTGATCTGGTCTTCAAATGCAGCAATGTACTGACAAAGCTCAACGGCCAATGACAAAGCCAGCCGGAAAACAAACGTGCTTTGTTAATCCATCGAATCATTCGTCCCCCACCACGCCCGTCAGGCACATAGATCAGGCTGTATCGAAATGGACACGAGCATCAGTAAACTCCTCGAGGTCAGGTTGATCAATTGACGGAGTGGTTCAATTCGTGGCTCGATGATGCAGCCAAGGTTGGCCTTGGTTAGTAGCCTTGGGTCCCTCAGTGCTTCATGTGCAGAGTAACTCCCATTCGTAGAGAGCATTGAACAAAAGACAGTTTCAAACACCGGCTGTCGGAAATTCCGAAGAACCCAAGACAGCAGCTGCCCATGCACTTCTTCAATCTCGAATGAACCAAACGTAGGATGCCCAGCAAGGCTCTTTCCACTCGGGATCCCAATGTGGCTGGGCGAAAAAAGAAAGCGAAGATGTGGCGTGGGTATGATCTAGGCTATATATTCTGAGATTCCTGTTGCTAGGACAAACAACAGGGAAGCCACTGTGGGTTCCATTGGGAGGACATTGAATCGGTCCGACCCTCTTGAGGTCTGGTGAACCGTGAGTTGATGGGCAAGAACAGGCCCAGGCGGCCCCCGTTAAAACACCGGTCAACAAAAACAACCTACTTTTTAGTCACTCAACTGGCACATGACATACAAATACACGCCAGGATCAGAAAACAACATCGGGACCAAGGCTGAAAAAGAACGCTCCAGCCTCTTTCCCTCGACCAGAGGAAACGGTCAACAGCTCTGGCAATTGGGCGCGCCACGGTGCAGTGCCAAATCTGAGGGTCCTCGCGGATCTGAAGCGAGAGATCAAATGGGAAAAATATGCGGGTTGATCAAACGCTCCTGCATGGGATGACCCTTGGGGGAAAAAAGAAAAGAAAAAACAAAAAAAACGCGAAGAAGATGAGACATGTCAACCACGAAATGGGAGAGGCGTTGCCATATCCCATATACCTGCACAGTGGACCCAGAAAGGCTCTTCGAAAGGCGATCACGAAGCCGGAAAGGCGTAAGTAGATGGCACAGTTCCCTCTAGGAATGGTCCACCAAATAGTCTTGAGAGCCCCAAAAGAGACGTGCCTTTGGCGTCCTTCAGATTCCCTACAGCCAAAAGGGAACACGAAACCCAGGCCTATGGTACAAGGTGCACATTCGAAAAATCGAAACTGGCCTGCGGGTTCTCAAC